TGGTATTGCTTGATTTGCGGACGATCTTTCTCAATGTCATCGAACCATAGAAACCTCAGCATACTTCTGTCTCCTGGGTTGATCTGTATCTGATGGAAGGCTTTTTCGATGTCAGCTACTACAGCAATTGCATACCCTCGAAACTTAACCACAATATCAAATAGGTGTGGCACTAAGTTCGGTCCTTTCTCTAAACACTCGTTAATTGAAGCAGTTGACTTGTCAGATTTGGCTGAACCATCAAATACAACTCTCAATTTTGTAGTTTCCCGGTTCGACCGAATTACGCCATGATGAGGTAAGAAATGCATTGGAGCTTGGTCGTAGTTGTGTTCTGGTACGGCTTCGATTATCCCGGATTTGACTTGATCCTTGATCACATTGTCATAATCTCTCAATAGTTCCTTGTTTTTCTTCAGTCGCGAGTGAAGCTGTCTCAATCTTGTAACACACGTACTCGTTTGAAGCAGGAACAAGGCCTTCCTTCCAAGGCAGACCAACTTCGTATCTTCCTTCATTCTCATTGAAATGAATACTCTCCAGGAACTCTCCACCATCTGACTGTGACACGGGTGGCTTCTCTCGTACTCCTAATGACTCAATGTCCCAGAATTTCTGCAAGGCATTACATAACTCATCGTTCTCACTATGACTGATGTCAAATGGGCTCAAGGTCATCTCTATGATGAGATTTGTAGTTGCAAACTTCTCTCTTGATTCTTCAGCACTTGTGGGACCAGACAAGACCCATCCGAACATGCTGCTAACTGCTACGGGACCACTGCAGCCACGAATGACATCCCCAGACACAATATCGAAATAATAATCAGATCCAATTAGCACATCTATGTCCTGTTGACCTGTTTCAGCAATGCTCATGTCAGCAAGCTCGAGACCTTGCAGATGTACGTGATTGTCGATGTTAACTTTAGCTGACACCGCCGAGCAAATCTTCGGGAAACATAGTGCAGATATCTTGATTTCTCCTTGAGATCCCTGCAACCGCAAGTTCACAACATCACATTGTTGCTTCGTATATCTTTCGTCTCCAAAGGTGTTAAGATGCAATGTTTCTGACTTGACAGGGGACAGATTAAGCCTCGATTTTAATCTGGTTGTGATGTAGGTGCGTTGACTTCCGGTATCCAAAAGTATTCCAACTGGTGCGGCTTTAGAACTGACAACATTGACAGCCATGGCTTTCGCTGTTTGTAAGAGCACAGTTCCCTTTGCCTTGTTGCTCACTGTTGTTGTTGTCGTTGTCTCTTCGGCTGAAACTTCTTTTGGTTTCGGTTTCCCTTGGTCAAGCATTGAACAAATCGACTGATGATGCCGCTGCTGGCAGTGTCGGCATTTTTTGGATTCGTGCAGTCTTTTCGCACAGTGATCAAAACGCAAACAATTGAAGCATCGTTTATCCCTTTCCAAAATACTTCTTCGTTGAGCGGTATCTTTTACCACACCACATGATGCAGAGTAATGCTCGTTTTGACAATAGGCACATTTGATTTTGAAGTTCCCACCTTGCTGAGAGAGCAGTGAATTCGCGGTTGGCGTTTGATTTGAAACTTTGAATCACGGCCGGGTGGTTGAACTTTCCCCGCCGCTTGTTTTCGCCATGGTCATCTCGCTTGCTTCCCGCGCTTCGACTTCAACCTTTATCACGTTTAGCAACTCCTCCATTTTCCATACAGAATCCTTAGAGTTCCTGGCTATCTGCAATCGAATCTCAGATGGCAACTTTGACATAATAACAGGAATTAGGAGACTTCCATATTGATCTGAAGCTGAAGTTACGCCGAGCGATGCCAAACCGCGGGAATGAACACAAATTTGATCGTAGACGTATCGAAGACTGGCTGGGCGATCATTAGAACACGGCGAAACCTTGAGAAGCTGATCCATATGTGCGCTGATAATTTGTTGGGGACGCCCGAAACGTTCTTGTAATAATTTGACTGCTGCGTTGTAGTTCGCTTCGGTTAAGGTAAGACCCTGAATAGCTCGAGTGGCGGCCCCTTCAAGGACAGAATTGAGGTAGTTGAACTTGTCGATGTTGGAAATCCCTTCGTTACGATGAACCGCCGATTGAAATGAATCCCAGAAGGTATTCCACTTGGTCACATCTCCTCTAAACTTCGGCAGGTACAACTTCGGTAATATTGCACGGACTGCATTTTGATTCACTGGCTGTGATGTCGTTTGAGGAGATCCCACGTGTTGCTGGGTTGGCATGTTCACCTTGCTCGCATTCTCGATTTTGCATTTTAGACGTATAATTGAGGCAGTAAATTCTTCTGACTCTTCGATTTCTTTATCAATCGTTGTAACTTCGCATAAAGATAATATCTCTTGGTCCATTTCGCTAAGCGACTCTTGTTTTCCATCCAAGAGTTGTCTCATAACATTGAGCCTTTCGTAATCCTTGTCTTCGCTTTGCAACATTTCGGTGAATTCTTGATCCAGTTTCGATACATATCGTCGGTGTCCTTCACGTATAACTCGCAGTTGTTCCAAATTCGATGTATTCGCTTGCATACTCGATGTACTTGATATCTCGTGTGTTTTTGACTTCGGTTTACCCTTTTTGGGAGGCATTGCGATCGAAAATCTGCCCCTCGTTGGGCGCCATTTAGTAAACACAACTGATCATGTTTAATAGTCGAAATCGAAATTGCTTACTGACAAAAATAATCCCGCGTCTCGGGTTACTTGAGGGTGCAATAAGATCACGTGACTACAATATTACGCAGACATCAATAAATTAACATAAATTATATAAAAATGTTCACAACAACATACAAGCTAATTAAGTGTGACAGACCTTGCCAATGGTCAGTCAAAATAGTAAGCATAAACATATGTCTCTTTAAAAATAGCTGGTCATTCTTTTAAAGAAAAAACTATTTATCCTACAACAAAGTCACATCATATAATCATGTGAAATTATGGTGCAAAGCGTAATGCGACTCTTAATGTCTGTAACAATAAGGTTATTAACTGGAACCTTTGTTCTTTAAAAACAAAGCTCCTTGATAAACTCCATTTAATCATCTAAAAACTGCAAATTTTTAAAAAAGTGATTTTTTTAGCGGTTGCTTGAGGGTTGATATAATGCACTGATGTCCATATATGAATGCTTTGTTATGAACTATAACAAATTGTTGATAGTAAATTAAATGTTTGTGTTAAAATATCTGGATCAGTTTAAATTACACTTATTTTAACTTCAGGAAAACAGAATCTGCATCAAAGTCTATAAGAATGCCTTACTTACCTTGATCCTCTTTGTCTGGGTCTAAGATGTCCAGCCATTGGTCTACCAAGCTCATCTCTCAGCCTTTTACACCATAGCAGTATTCCTTTCTGTATAAAAAAGATATTCCTACAGTGTTTGGTTTTGCTTGAAGGAAGCTGGTACTGGACACATCTGCACTTGGCAAATACCACATTTATATGTGGTTTCTGCTTGGTAAATGGCAGGGCGTACCCAATCGATGAAATCGATGATCGATGGGAATCGATGGCATTCGATGACAATCGATGCCAATTAATCGATTGATATTGATAATCGATGAACAATCGATCGTCCAGGTGTGTGTGATTATCGATTGTCATCGATTGGCATCGATTGTCATCGATTGCCGATATCAATCGATTAATTGGCATCGATTGTCATCGATTATCAATATCAATCGATTAATTGGCATCGATTTTTTACCAATTTTCATCTATTGGTTATTATTGTTGATAGGTTTTATTTCAGTCAAGATTTCCAAAGGCACAGTCTCTTGATGCATTTTAATGACGAAAACAATGACATCGTGGAGGACATTGGCAGAAGATCGAGTTTTTTTACAACTTGACAGATAATCAGCTTAACTCTGCTTAACTGAATAAAGTTGTCTTTTCGCATTTCCGTCCTTTCCTCTGGTTTGTGCTCGATGAAAGTTACAACAATCTGATTTTATTAAAAAACCAATAAACTTGAACTTTGAACCCCAAACAACTAGCACATAACGTGAAAACACTTACAGTTTACTTACAGAGGCGATTTTTGTGTTGTCGTGGTTTCGGGTTGCGATTTTTGGTCATTGTTGTCTCGGTCGCGCTGCAACTCAAATTCTACCTGTTATCACAAGGCGTTGTGACCTTACGACGAAAACGAAATCATCTTTTTTTTTGTAAGACGTGTTTACGCATTTACCACGTTTCGTAGACATTCTAGCTAGTGATAAAAATCAACTCGTTGCAGCACGATCGCGAGAAAATACGCAGTGGAAATCGCGACATAAATTGCACCAAAATCGCCTGTGTAAACGGGCCGTATAAATTTTGAACAGGGTGGCCAAAAGTGTCAACTGTTTGCAACTTTGAAGTCCAGTTTACAGGAATTCACTTTCAAACTATAACGATATTAATAGTTTTATAACGCTTTCAAAAAGTACCTCACACCTATCAGTGGCACATTAGTAGCCCTCGGCATAAACAGTAGAACCCATGTCTATTAGACTGCAACTGTCGCCACAAAAGCAGTTTACATTTACTTGCGCAAACATAAAACAGGTCAACAACAACAGCAACAGTGCAAGCAGTACGGAAAACAGACAAGTTAGTTCCTCGAAAATTAAAGTTGCTTGAATTGACATCAGTGTGTTAATGACGTAAAGGTAAATCGCGTTTGCCATGTACGCATTGATCAGATCAATCATAAACAGTAAAAGCAGTAACAGGTGGATCACTCTTTCTTTTTTTTCATCAAAATAATAGATAAACGTTGAAGGCTGTACAATTTTACGTGCATGACAAAACCGCGAAGAAGTGGAAGAAGAAGAGCAGGTACTCGCTTTTGCAGTGAGAGACTCAGCAGAAGTGTCCAAACTGTGGCTTATAGTGCTTTCGTGACCAGTAGCAACTGTGCTTGTAGCAGAGGCTGTACATGTCATATTGTTTGCTTTTTCCCTTGCCGCTATAACTTTCTCGATCAGGACCGTTTTTTTTCAACTTTTTTTGTACGGCTCGCCCATTTCGTCCAAAAGTTCGCGCAATAACGTAATGGTCATATCCTTCGGGTTGCCTTGTTTTATTTTTTCTCTTTCATCCTTTCGTTGCAAATTCTCTTTTTTCTTCCTCTCTTCGTCCATTTTCTGCAGTCGTGGCAATTCCTTGAAAATTTCCGTCAAATCAACGTATATCGGCCATTCAGGCTGTGAACCACTAACCTTTCCCACTACTTTGAGGATGGAATGAACTTCAGACCAACGAAAGGTGGGAGTAGTTTCCAACTCCCACCCAAGAGAGGCTTTTTTCTCATAGTTTAACACCCTAAAGCAAATGGTAACTTTTTCTTTTTTTTTGGAATCTGATCGCCATTCAAAAACTGGAAAGTTTGATTTTAGAGACGGTGATCTTACAATCCTGACAATATGGGCAACTTGTAATCCTTCCGATGGAAACCACAATGCAACGATGTCGTTGATGTAAGTACCAGTTTCGACACGTTGAGGGTTCATGAGATTTTCGATTTTTTCATAAAAATCGTTTCTCGCCGATTCCATCCAACGTGCAAGGCGTGAAGTGGCAGGACGGTATACTTTGCCTTCCTGTAATGACAGAAATTCTGCCATATGGTAATGTTGCCCTTCATGCTCTACATAATTTGGACGAATAGAGTAATCAGTTTGATGTTCTGCGCTTTTGGTTTTTTGGTCAACCCGAAGGCGTTTTGGCAGGGGCTCGAGAATTACGTTTTCGTCCACCAGTGAATGCTTGTCTGACTCTAAAGCTACCAATTTGTCACGAAAATGTTCCCTGATGTTGGTATGTTTGGGGCAGATAAGTGTATACTCGTCTCTTTCCTTGTCTGTTGCGAATTGCAGAGAGAGACACTGTTCGTGATACCAATCTTTGCAAGTAGGATAACTGCAGCCCACCCAGTGAGTGTTTTTGGGAGGGATAAACGATTTATCTAGGTACTTGCACTTCCTTTCTTTATAGAATGAACAATGTGTAGGACTGTCTTCCTCGTCATCTTTGTCTTCCTCATCCTGGTCATTGTCTAAAGAGGCTGTCGCGGCCAAATCTACCAACGCACTGAAATGATTGCTTCCATGATCTTCAATGGCAGTTAAAAGCACCTCATTGTCTAAATCAAATAGATCCTCACTAGATATTACCTCATTTTCATCAGGTGCGTCCCATACGGCAAACGTTCCAAACTCGGGAGTATTTATATTGATAATGTCATCGCCCTCTAATTTAAGGATGTTTCCTTTGACCAAAGCTGGCAACATACCTATAAGCTCTAACGTCTTCAGAACTTCTCTCTCTGCCATTATCATGCCCGCCTTTAGTTCATCATCGATGTTTTGTGGCCATTGCGGCAGTTGCATGTCTTGAGCCTCTTTTTCTACTCCCAATTTCAGTTCTTCTAATTTTTGCACTCTTCCTGAGAAATCAATCATGTCTAGCAAGGATAAATTTGGCTTCCCTCGACAGAAACATCGCAACTTTCCAAATAATTCCTCACACTTCTGCGAACCGAATGTCCAAGGATAAAACACATGATTCGGAAAATACACCGAAAACATCTTCATTGATAGTATGAGGCTATGTCCCGCTAGAATTGTATCATCAAAGGTTTGCTGGGAAATAAAGTTTTGATGAGCATCGTACCCTTCAATCTTTAACCACGCTCGCCAATATCTTAGGAATGTCACAGGTGCCCAGGCAAGCTTTGCGCGTTGTTGCACCGTCAAGTCCCTCTCCGTATACGCCTGTAGCAAATACTGCCCCATTTTTAAGTATGCTCTTGTCGCACGAGTTTCCTTGTCACTCCACTCTTTCATACAAACCCTAACTTCTTTTTGCAAAATTCTCATGGCCGCATTGACGTTCTGTTTGTCTTTCACGAAAACGTCACTTTTCCATAGACCCGATCTTATTCTGTCCTTTTCAAGCACCTTTATGATATGTTCTATTTGAGCGGTACCTTCGCCAATGACGAGAATGCGTTTAACGTTAAGTAATTGGTTACGCCATTTTTTTATAAGATGTCGCCAATCTGGAAACATGACGGTTGGTACGGGAGTATCAATATCCATGTTCTGATAGTCTTCAACTACAATGTTGAACTCAAAGGAGTTATAATGAAGACTGATTATATCGTTCCTGTCCTCTTCGCGTTTTCTGAAGCGATCGACATAATATTTTCGGACTTTGGAATCACCATCCGCTCCTAATCCAACTACTGTGATACCGTTACGCGAGCCCCACAAACCGACTTGATTAAACCAGTGGTTCACAAGGGCGTGGTCTTGACCTTTATAAACAGGGCTGATAGCCAAAACAAACGACGGTACATGATCCTGCAGTGGTGCCAGCAAAAATGCATTAGCTTGCTTAGCCCTTTCGTTACTTTCATCCTTCACGACATCTATTATGTCTTGAGCTGTAGTAAGTACACACTCGCTTTCTGTTGCCAAACCTATTAGCTTGTTGCCTTTAACTCGCAGGGTAGGAATGATCGCAGTTGCGTCTATCGCCAGCTGGAAAACGCCATTATATCCAATTTTCTTGTAAAAAGATGCGGCATGTTTCATGGCGTTTTCCTCTAACTTAATCGGTATAGCATAGTTACACCTTGCTGTACGGTACATTGTGTTTAGACTGGGACCACCAATTTTATCTGTAACGATTTTGGCCAACGCTGGACCTCCATAATCAAGAATTGTTGCAAAGAGGGATTTCGTCTCATCGCTCCATCGCTTAACTGGCGTGCCTCGATTGTGAATCAAGTTCTTGAGTAAGGAAGCCAATACTAAACAGTCTTCATCAGGATTTTCCATCACAGCTGCAATTTTAATAGCTATGTCAGGAACAGCACGATTAATATTGTTTTGTTCCGTTAGTGCCTTTAGTTCTTCAAGCGCAATTTCTTTATCTCTTAACTGTCTCTGCATATCTCGTACTTTTGCGCGATACATATCAAGAAGTGCGGAATACTCAACCATGTCTTGCAACAGACATTGTACAGCTTTTGATCCTGTTGCCTCCCTTGATGATATTTGTGACATTTCGAGAACGATCTTAATTTGTCGTAAAGCTTTTTCTTCGAACTTTTCTACCTCTGTACTTAACGTAGTTAGAATTTCGGGACCAATAGTTGCCGCGGTTCTGACGGATGCTAGCGTAGACGACAAAATTACTTTTTGTACACTTCTTGCCATGGCCAATTGTTCCCGTTGGAATTTGTTAACATTGTCCCTCACTATTTCCTCTACAGAAATGTCCAAAGTAGTTTTATCAGGTTTGGGTTGCGTTGTTGTAGATGTACTGGACTTTGCAATTGACCTTCCGAGTCTTGTTCCAAGTTCTTTTTCAATTTGAATTTTTGTCCTTGACTCGATCTAAAAGATAAAATTATCAGAGCAAAATAAGGTGGGCGAAATTACAAGGTGTGCTGTTGGGTACTGAGAAGACTGGAGAAGAGTACTACTGTACAACATTACTACTGAACCGAGAAATGGAGCCTATGTAGACGATGTAGAAGGCGCTCGGATAGCGGGATTACTCAGGATCGAGTGATGCTGAGAACGTGGATGGCAGAGCGGTTCATGCAGAGTTGGGCACGCGAAGTCGGGGACGCTCGAGGAGTTAGCCGTGTTCAGATACATGAACGGTTTTGTTATGCGGCTCATTTGCTGTGGCTTGTTATGCGGCAATTCTTACAAGATATAGAATTAATAACAAAACGATAGGAACAAAGTTCTCTTCATAAATAACTGAAATAAAGACCCAATGAAGGTCATTATTAAAACTAAGAAATACTGAGTTAAATTATTGTTAAAGCAATGCAGAACGAATAATAACAATAATAAACAGGTATTGGACTAACTTGGTCAATATCGTCGCTTGCCAACAGTGATGATACTAAGGTCCTCTCTTGGTCTGGTCTTGATGTTGGTAAGACATGTACTCCTGATGAGGAAGACTTTGAAGAGGTTCCTTTGCTCGTTTTGGAAAAAAAGTCTGTCATATCTCTGCATCCTGTTGAGAACAATAACTTGATCAAGTATTTTTCTGCTCAACCTCCCCGCAGGCAAATCAAAGCAGCTGATCAAAGTCACGACGTGTTCAGAATCAGGAAGGTTGTTATCCCTGTGACTCACTCACTCGACTGGCCATTTGAACCCGGGGGGGGGGGGACGGGCATTTGAAACCCTTAACACCAAACACTTTAAAAACGATTGAAAGCCCTTGTAAACACTTTCAAAACCCTTTTCGTTTTACTTTCAAAAAAAACTCTGATATACTCAATCAGTGAAGCAGGACGTTTACAGTGTTGCAAAAATTTTTTTTTTAGTCTGTATGCCTGTCATGTCATGTCATGCTTCGCCGCGGATGTGGTTTCATTCATTGTTTTCCCGGGAAACGCTCAGGAAACACGTGGTGTTGGATGTCGTCAGCTGTTCTTTCCAGTTCGTCAGATTTCATTCGAGCGCTCAAAACAAATTCGGTATTCTGCGAACGTATCTCTGTTTTACTGCTGTTTTGTGTCACAAGTCTCAGAAGTCTACACAAGGTCATTATGGCTAATAATACAGTCACTGTGAATAATAACGAAATCGTTCAAACTGAAGCAAGCGAAGAATCGGCTAAGCTGAAGGTCAGTAAACCTGGGGTCAATTCAATAAAACTTTTACACGTGTTTGCAAGTGTAGCTATTGTTTTCAACCTCTGAAACAATAGCTCAGAATAGCTACACTTGTAAATTACACTTGTAAAAGGTTTATTGAATTGACCCCTGGTACTCGCAATCAGGACACAATCAATCATTAGTCGAGGTGAACTGATTCATTCATGGCGAAACCGGCAAAAACTTATAATTAATCGTCACGTTTTTTGCAGATCACTGTAGAAATACCGGCCTCGGAAAAGGAGAAAGTGCTCCAATTTGTCGAAGGATGTGGGGGCAAGGTTTTCGATGGTAAGTTCACTCAGGTTCACTGTAAGTTCAGCAGCACTTCATACACTTTCAAAGCAAGCTAGAATCATATGTAGCCGTTTCTAGTTTCAGTAGTTTGCGCATGCAATTGCAGGCATTTTTCAGTTTATTATAATCCGATCAATCACTTCATTCTTTAAATCTAGCAGGCGAGGGAGAGGTGGCTGAAACAGAAACTCCATCTACGATCGCAAAGGCTGTGAGAGGTTTCATTCAAAAACACCCGACCATCTCAGTTGCATTTCTTGCAAAAGAAATCGTCCGACGCTCGCAGGGCACGTTATCCACGCTGTTGAATAACCCGCCCTCTACTTTCCCAGCCGGCGCTGGAAGAGAACCGTGGGAAGCAATGAAAAAGTTTTTGGCGAGTGAGGACGAACAAAAAAACCTGCTAGAAAGGAAAGGTGAGTATATTTCGCTGAATTCCTAAGGCGCTGTTGTGACCACATCACTGCTATGTCCTAGGGTTTTCTGGTTTTAATTAAATAAAAACCAGGAAAAGTAAATAACCGCAAAGTAAAACGTGTGAAATAGGAAATGCCACACCCAACGGATCTAATTATCTTTGGGAAAAAAAAACCTGAAATATCCTGAATATCTTATATATTACACATATTTACTTCGTTACTTCTGTTATTTTGCATGTGTTTTCTCTGATATTCTCTGGTTTTCTCCACCGTCAGCGAGAAGTAAAGGTAAGGGCGAGCTGAGCCTGCAGGCTGTGCAGGGCACAGACACAGCTCAAACAGACCCAAACAGCGGACCCAAAAAAAGAAAGATGTTTGACAAAATGGAGCTCGCTGCAATGGACACCATTTATAAAGCATCAAAAGGGCTGCCGACAAGCTCGATGATCGAGCGACTGACTTCGTCACTGGGCCTGGAAAAGGACCAGGTATTCTGATGTTTTATAAACGTAAAATGAGTGCTAAAATCAGTAAAATTTACCTCTCGGCTTGGATCGTTTTACATTGTTTTTATTGTCAAGTATCCAACCAGCTTTCACTTGATGAACCGCCTCCCTTGAATGCCGTTTTAGCATCCAAACAGCTTGATAGGTTTTCTGCGGATAACTTATAGTCACTTGACAAGCATCGCATCTTAAACTGCTTTCAAAGTTGTCTGGCGAAGAAATCGAACATCCCAAAGAATTAAGCTGCTTCAGGATAGTATCAAGGCTCGTGTGAGGTGCACCAAAGGTATTCAAAATCGGCAGAAAAAGGATCACCAGAAGCGAAATTCTGATTATTGAAGTCATGACTGAAAAATTAGCTACACTGGCTACACCTTCGCTACACGTGGGTGAGTTGGTGTTACCCAAGTGTCTGTGCGCGCTTGCATTATGCCAGTGACTATTGTTGCGGTCAGGGTCACTGTTGCGCAGAGTGTAAAAAAAAAGACTGAAAAAAGTAGGATTTATGCTAATAATGGGAACAATTTCATAATAACTAAAACATATTGTTTTTTTCTTCTACAGGTATCCACCTGGTTTCAAAATCACCGCCGCCTGGAAAGAGCCAAGTCTTATACACCGGGGCAGTACGCGCTGACAGAGGCTACTGATTAAACCAGATTAAACTAATGTGTGATGCAGCTGACGCTGAGCTTAGAATGAATAAACTCAGATAAAATACAGAACATGCGTAATCATTTGTGAATTTATTTTATTCATGTTTTACTGTGTTTAATTACAGTTATGTTATGATTTAAAACTTCCAAAGCAACACATAGTTGAGTTGATTGTTGTATTTTGACTCTGTTGTACGCTGTTCTACGTCACACGCGATTTCAGCTCGGTGTAATTCTCAGAATTCTGGATAGAACTGACTGTTACTGACAATTCCATGTTCTCAGCGTGTGGGCAGAGACCTGTTGGAAAACTAAGAAAAATGAATTAAATGTTTTGCATCGGATCTAGGTACGACGCAACCATTGCGTAGTTAAAATTGTCAAATGGACCAAATGTCGTACGAAATAACTTCGTTTTGATGTGATACATTGAAGTAATCTTTTTGATCAGAGAAAATATTAAACCCCAATCGATGACAATCGATGATTCATGAACACTTTTGTGTGATTATCGATTGGTCATCGATTGGCCGATACCAATCGATGCCAATTAACTGACATGCATCGATTGGCATCGATTGATCGATTGCTTTTCCGATCATCGATTTTCATCGATTGGGTACGCCCTGTAAATGGGCACCTTGTAGTTGGTATGAGAGGCAGTTTTAACAGGATAGTGAAACAGGTATCTGCTTAAGGTTGAGGAACACTCCTTGACAAGGTATCCCAAAAGAAAAAGTTCCTCCAATGATATTTCTACCAACAACTATTTGAAGTTACCAAGGGTGATGTCTTGCTTGTTACCTGCCTGGTACATAATTTGTGCATCGAGCACTTACAGCATGTGAAAGCAAATTTGTAATACCAAATATTTCCTTTCATAAGCCTGGAGCAGGTGGCAATGTGTTGATCACCCACATCTGAATTGTACAGCTTCATTAACTTTGCCTGAGTAACATTCATCTGCCCTGACAACCTGAGCCTCCTCTCAATTTGACCGATCTCAAAATACACAGAGTTAGCTGACAGCAGGTGACAGGTGATAATTTAAACACTGGTTATCATGTACTAGTGACAAAATGAGAAAATTTAGACCCTTGAGTGCTAAGATTCCTAGTTTTTGGTCTGTAAGGTTTTACTTTCTTCCCTGAACTATATAAAATGGACCAAAACTCACGACACATTTCTTCTAAAAGAGATTCTTCAACTCGATGTTTGGGAACACAGAAAAAGATCTGAGGAGAGAGGTACACTTTGGGGAACCTCCTTGCCTGTCGCCTTCGATGATCACCCAAAGTTTCCTATAATCCAATGTTCTCTGGGTGAAAGTTACCTGTCATAAACAGGCTTTCCAGGCAGAGGAAATACGAAAAACAGTTTGAAAACATTTGAAAATTTTGAAAAGGGGTCATAAAGGACCACTGAAAACAGAAAAGGCTATATACCTGTAAATATACTTGACCATCGTGCATCTGAGTTCATGAAATATACATTTTTCACTTAAGCATATTTATAAATTCATCTCAATATTCCAAGAATTGCAAATAGTACATCACATTACCAAAACCCGATTCCACTTACGTCATGTTCATTGATTTCTTACAAGCTCACTGGTTGTTGCTTGGCCTGGCACCATGAAATGGACCCTTTAAGTGAGATATTGGGGGAGACACTGGGTCACCATGTGTATATAGGATGTTCCGGCGAGAGCTGGACAAAGGGAATTGAGGTTTGTCTAACAGTCTTGTGGTCATGCTATCCTTGCACTATCATAGCTTTATCATTCAATAGGCCCATAACACAGGGAAAAAATTTAAAAAATCATTCTTGTTGTTTTAAATGGAAAATGATAGAATAACATGTTGAAATACATTAATGGGAAAGCAGAACTGAAACCATTAATGTTTTTTATACAAACATTCATGGCAATAAATTTTCCATTACTGTGATTTTGACTTATACCATTAGTGGTAAAAAGGCAAATCCCATCATGTTTTTTTTCCTTTTAACATTAATGTTTCTACTAGTACCATTACAGGATTTTCCTCTATTTCCATGAATGTTAATCCTGAAAACATTTTTGGGTTTTAAGGTATTCCCATTTAAGTTTGTAACCAAACACATTGGTGTTTTTTCTTAAGAAAACATGGATGGTTCTTTTAATCTTTTGTGTTTTTTTGTATATTTCCATGAATGGTTTTCTTTGAATATTTCTGGGTTTTGATTTATAACCATTATTGGTTTTTAAGCAGTACCACTTAATGTTATTTATGATGACATTCATGGTTTAACTGTTAACATTGATGGAATTGTTTCCATTTCCATAAGTGGTTTTCCTAGAGCCATACCTGGGTTTGGATTTCTTACTATTGTGACGTTGCCAAGGGTGTCACATCGCAGTGGTTTTTCTTCTTGGCATATATCTTCAATATTACTAAATTAGCTCATTGGTTGCATTACAGTAATATGTGCCAGTCTGTTAAACTGAGAGCTAATAACGATGTTTAGAAATTAAATCATTTCAATAATGAATGTTTTAATGTCTTCCTTCAGAAATGACAATAATTTACAGAACAAGATTTGACCGCCTAACACCTGGCAATACAATAGGCTGACATCTTTAGTAATTACAAAAACTGGTACAATATAAAGAAACCTGCACATGTTAACTTACCACATAAAATCCTCAGACAGGACAACAATGAGAACAAATTTGACTTAGCAGGAAAAAGAAATATTAACAGTATGAGCCTTTAGAAGTAAAAGCTGGCCCAAAAGTGATAATATTAACACATTTTTCTCTTCTGTACCATTGAATGTCTTAAGTACATTGAAGGATGAGATTCATGACTTATAGATAAAGAGACGACACCAACAGCTTTTTCTAAGGTACATAACAGGAACAGGAAGGCCACCAAGGTTGTGAGTTAAAAAGGCTTCAAGATCTGAACATCATCTCTTGAAATTTTCTCTTTGGGTGGTATTTTAACAAATCCTTTACTGACAAGAGCTTGGGCAACATTGGAAATCAACACCTCCTTTGAGCTTGATTCAGATTCTTTAATGGGAACCTTTAATGTTTTAGCAGCTGATTGCAACTGTGAACGTGATATGTCTACCACTCGAACTTCATTGAAGGCACATGCCACTATAAGTTTAGCTGAAGCCATAGGAATGCCTTGTGAGAAAAGAAAAAGAAAAAGATAAAGAAAGTTAACAATAATATCATTGGCACTATTATAATTATAGTTTACCCAACTCCCTATAGTAAGCTATAATATTAATTTAACCCTACCAAGTAAGAGGGACCATATCTTGGGAACTGCTTCCAACATTGATATCACCACAGGGATTGTCTGTTCTCTTATTGATCATAGAAATGACGTCATAAAATGTTCAAAACTCGGTGGTTTTTAAAGTTTTCAATATTTTATGCCATCATTTCTATGATCAATAACAGTACAAACAATAGAAAAATGGAGTCAATTTTTTTACAATAACAAAAACAGTTGTGAGTGAATAAGGGCTCTATTTGAGTATATTTTTTTTAGAAACTGCAAGTCAACAAAGAGTAAAAAAAAGGTTGCAATTTTTTGTTTTTTGGACAGTAGCAAAAAATGATACAAGAGGTTATGCCCTTGATTTTTAAAATGTGTGGAGCATGATTTTGTAGCAACATGAAAAAGAAGGCATTGAGACGATGAAGTTGAGTATCATTCACTGACATATTTTTGTGCTGTTTTGGGTGTCCAGTCCTTTATTTTCCAAGAAATGAGGACTCTGTTTCAAGTCTGGCAAATAGTAAATACAGTCCAAAAATACCTTTATTGCTCTCATCATCCTCAGATGAGGGCAGTATTGAGGCTGAAGGGGAAGAAGCACTGCTACATGACTGGCTATCATCAGATGAACGCACATCTTCAGTATCACCACCATCACTGTTTTCAGGCTGGGTACACTCATCATTTTCAGTTCGTGTATCATCTGGTTTACATGAAGCCACCTGAGCTGATTGCTTCTTCTTAGCCTTATCCACCTGTCAAGTAAACCATGTAATTTACCTACGGGTGCATAACTACAAACACAGGATCCAAAAAAAAAACATGGTCATACCTTTGTATAATCATGTCCATTTCTAACATGTCTGCGCCGTTCATTTAAAATGTCCAAGATGTGCTTACGGATGGCTTCTTTGTTAAAGCCCACTGTCATATATGTGCAATCTTCCTCTAATTCTTCAACCAACTCGTGTAAGACTTTAAGCTGAGATGGATTTTTCTTGAAATTTGGTAGGTCATTTCCTGGCCACTTTTTTATTACAGCAGCTCTCACAGCTTTCTTTCTGTTTAGAAAAAAAAAAGATCATCTTTGGTCAATTTCCTCTTCCTTCTCTGGCAGACACAACGTAAACTGTTTCCTTAGCATTTATCATCAGCTGTAAAAATACAGGTAGAAATAGTTATCTAGTTGAAAGCTAGATTAAGTTCACATTTTGTTTTGACTAACAGATGAAGATTTCTACTTCAAGTTTACAAAAATAAATTTTCACTCTCACAGTCGGAGAGAAAGGCACCGAGTGTTGTTAATATCTAAGGTCACTTCAAACATCACATCAACTTTATGCAAGTAACTTGATTTTAGTTTACATCTTGTCACGCATGCAAATAAACAACACGATGTAGATTTCGTCAAATACCCAATCCTTTCCCCATAAATTCCACTCAGGATTTACATTGGGATGTTCCTTTTTTAGCCTCACCTCAGACGATGACTTAATTGTAAACTTACAAAGTAAAAGAAAAATCAAACTTACTTAGCATTGTATATTCGCTTGTGTAGTTCTTTGTCGATGTTTTTGGTTGATGGTTTTGTCAATTTTTTTGGTTGACGGTTTTTAAAGCTTATGTCCGACTCCATTGCGTCGAGAACCTCCAACAATTTCATTTGGTCGCCTATAAGCTCCAATCCACAGGCTTCCATTTGGTCTTTGGTGCCTCT